CAAAGCGCGCGGGCGGGCGGAGCGCTGCCGGGCGGGGATGCTGCGGGGACCTGCCGCGGGGACAAATCCGGGAAAGGACCAACCTTCCAGGCTCGGGTTTTCCTCCTCTTCCTCCCGCAGGGCCGGCGCGTCCCGCCGCGGGCGTTTCCGAAAGGAAACTGCCCCATCCATCCTCCTCTGCAGTTTATTACTGCACGCTCGGAGGCTCATTGTCCTTTGCGGGCAATGGATGCCGGTGGTGCTGCTTCTCGCTTCGACAGAAAGAAGACGAAATTCCATTCGTTTACATGTTTTATTGTTGTAAACATTAAAATTGTCTTTCTCAAAGAAAGAGTTATCAGGAGGGAAAAAAAAAAAATATCAGCGTTTCTAACTCATACACCATAGAAAAAAAGGCAGCAACTCGTATCGTGTGCCAGACTGGGAATATACAAAGAAAAAATACTACAGAATATGGCAATATTAAAAATATTACTCGAACAGAAAATAATATATTAACCGACAATTTTAGACATAAAAAACCGGAACAAAACAAACCAAAAATTCAAAGTGCTCAGTAATTTCCAGGGAGTTATGTATAAGCACTCTGGAAACAGTCAAAAGCTGCTGCATGCAAGATTTGTTTAGCTTTAGACAACAAAATAATCAAGATATAAACTTCTTTTTTAATCAACATCAACAGTACATACAACACTTACAAACAAGGAATGTCGGACGGTGTTTACAAACACTATGTGTCCCTTTGGGGAGGATTTCGGGTTCTGTAATACTTGTGCCCACCTATTTTACAATTGAGAAAATGTTTGAAGCTTAGATAACTACCAGTCTTTATAAAAGCTAACAGACTACATAGTGTCTGAAATACTATTTATAGAATATAGACATTACTGAAATAGCAAGTGCCTATAACATCGTCACCCTAGAATCGTCATGCTTTCCTGGTACGGAGAGATTTATTTTTCTTTCTCTTTTTTCTCCCTCCCCCCTCCCCTTTTTTTTTTTCTTCTTTTTTTGCAAACACGTTTAGCTTTTATTTTTAATTTTTTTTTCCTTAGAATTGTTTCCCATATTTCATAAATAGGCACAGAATAATTTTTAAAAAGCCAAACTGCATCTGATAAATTTACAAGCCTTCGCCTTCTTAAATGACATGCCACCCACGCAACATTTAGGTTTTGTATATATTACAGCTTTCTTTTACAGCAGAAAACTTTAGTCTTTAGGAGGGTGAGACTTGTGGGTCACCTTAACACTTTGTTTGCCACCGTATGAGTCTTAGCTGCGCACCCGGCGTTGCCAGATATGTTCATCTTTTTAATCAGAAGTCCTTAATAATAAATTCATTTATAAGCTGATAATAAAAAGTTTATACCATGGTATCTGTGTAGTCCATGATCTGCATCCATGATGCCCCAGAGCCAAAATGCCCATTGACGTTCTGCCTGCAGGAGGTTTGCAACACTGGTCGGGGTGGGACGCTGGCACCCAGAGGTGCTGCTCTGGGCCCCGGCGAATTCCCCGTCGGACGGGGGAAGTTCCTCTTCAGTTCAGTGGAAGTGCATGGGAAGAGTCTTAGAAAGGTAAAGTGTCCAGGAAAAGTTTGTCAATTATTGCTGGTGGTGGCACCAAATCCTCCAGTTTCAGGTAGAAAATGCGCTGCAGCCCCTGCGTGCAAAGCGTGCGAAGTTCGGGGAGCTTCCCCAAGAGTTTGGACAAATAGTTGGGGCGATTCAGCCCCCCATTATTAAAAGTCACATGGTCTTTGAGACAATTTACAATCTTGTTTTGAAGTTCTTCCACCCTCTTGGGTTCTTTAAGCCCGTGCCTCTCTGCAAAAGAGAAGGACGCGGCCGTTACGGGTCTGGCGCGGAGAGGAAGGCGGGAGGGAAAAGGAGCTGCCCGGCGTGGCCGGGTGGGACAGAGGGGACACTGACCTGTGACCATGGCCAGGGCAGCGATGCAAGAGAAGGCAGAGATATCGATGTTCATGTTTTGCAAGTTGGAGGAAAATTCAACAATGGAATCGATCCACTCCCCAAAGCCGCGGACGCACTGCAACCGGTGCAGGACCACCCCGTTGCAGAAGATAAGCTTGCCCTCCACTGGATTTGACCTGGAAGGAATGTGACAGCCCCAAAATGAACAGATGAATGAATGAATGAATGAATGAATGAATGAATGAATGAATAAGAAAGAAATCATAGAGGGAGAGGAAAAGAAAGAAAAGAAAGGAAACACAAAAGATTAAAAAGAGAAAGAGGAGGGGAGAGAAAAGAAAGAAAGAAAGAAAGAAAGAAAGAAAGAAAGAAAGAAAGAAAGAAAGAAAGAAAGAAAGAAAGAAAGAAAGAAAGAAAGAAAGAAAGA